GCTACATTAGATATAGCAGGAGAGGCCTCAGAAGCAATCCAAAAAAAAAAAAAAGATAATAACCTGTTGATAGACTAGAGTGGTGATAGTAGAGGTGGGTAGATCTAGGGATCTTGCAATATTGATTTGAAGAACTTGATTATTGATTGTAAAAAATAAAAGAAGAACAAAGAGTCATGATATTAATTTAGGCTTTTGGCTTAAGCAGTTAGGTGGATGGTAGTGCCATTATGGAGTTGATGAGCACACTTAAGGAGAAATAGGTTTGGGTATGTGTAGATGGATTCAGTTTGAATATACTGAATTTGAGGTGCCTGTGAAATCGCTGCACGGAGATATATGTAGTTAGTTGGACACATTTATAAGTCTATGTCTTTGGTAAGCTATTTTAGAAGCTGTTTAAGGATGGCTTAAAGGAGGTCTCTTCTTTAGAGCAAGTAAAAGGAAAATGTGTGAGCAAATGAGCTGAAGCTGATGTAAATGAAGGACAGCTGGGGATATAGACTGGACTCCAGGGAATGCTAATGGAAAGTTGGAGGAATGAATTTTATTTCAAAGATATGCTGAAAAAGCAGTTACTTCAAAAGATTTTTTAAAGTTTAGAATGTACCCACGAAGAATGAAGTATAAAAGGTTTTAAAGGGGGAAAATTGGGCCAAGACGAAGATGATTTTAGTGAAATATAAGATGTAGTTCTGACTTAAGAGGATATACACTCAGGGTAAATGTTCTTTAGTTCTAATTAGACAACTGATTGCCATTCATATCAGAGTCTCTTTAATGTAAAGATGCTAGAAGAGCCCTCTTAGGCTTAGCCAAACTGACATTATTGAATAATATTAAACCTTAATTATTAAGAATTTTTTTCGTTTTCCTTCTTTCTCTATACCCCTCCCTCCATCTTTCCTCCTTTTCTACTCTACCATCATTCCTACCCAGGAGGAAGCTAGGATGAAATGTTTAGATAAATGAGACAAAATGGGAAAAGTGTTTTTCTTTTTAAAAAAAATTAGGTAACTTGCAGGGTAGAAAAATCATTTTAAATGATTTTTAAGTTCCAAGTTAATAACTTTGTGTAAATTTAATTTGCATAAGATTTAATAAATAATGTTTAAGGTTATGTATGTTTTCCTTAGTGACTATTTTTTGTGAAGCATTAAATAATTTTTAAAATTTTTACTAAACTATCGTATATTCACACAATGAAATACTATGACTAATGAAGAAGAATAAAAGTCTCTGTTTTTTTTTTTTTATTATTGTCTTACATATGTCTCCTTTTTCCCCAACTGACAATGCCCCGCACCCCCCAGCCATTTCCACCCGAGCAGGTCCCCATTGCCCCAATTTCTGAGTCCATTGGTTATGCTAATATGCATGCATACAAGTCCTTTGGTCATTCTCTAACCCCCCCCACACCCCTACCATTTGTCTCTATAACAAATTATGTTGATCATTATATCCCACATATTAGTGAGATCATGTGATATTTATCTCTAGATCCATCCATATTGTTACAAATGTTAAAAGTTCCTTCTTTTTTTTTTTTTTTTTTTATAGAAACATAGTATTCCATTGTGTAGATGTACCACAGTTTTCTAATCCACTCATCTGCTGATGGGCACTTAGGCTGTTTCCAGATCTTAGCTATTGTAAATTGTGCTGCTATGAACATAGGGTGCATATAATAATATATCCTTTCTGATTAGTGTTTCTGCTTTCTTGGAATATAGTCCTAGAAGTGGGATCACTGGGTCAAATGGGAGTTCCAGTTTTAATAAAGATCTCTATTTCAGAGAGAGATTATCAATATAAATTTTTAGATAAGTAACACAGTATTTAGTTTTCTATAAGAAAGAGAAGATAAGAATACATTGTGCAACACAGTGTGTACAGTATGCTGTCTTTTCTATTAAACAGAGGGTAATAATACATTTTTTTTTTTGCTTAGACTGCACTAAGAAACACTGGAAAATGCATAAGAAAGTAATACAATTACCAATAAGAGTTAGAATGAGGAGGTATACAATGAGGGTGGGACTGAGACTTCTCAGTGTCTATTGTGTTATCCTGTTTTCATGTTTAAATCTTGTGAATTTACTTTCAATATAAAAAGTAATTTTTAAAATATTTTAAATGTATTGCTTGTGTTTTTTATAAACTGAAAAGTCACATGTTTGTAAGCACTACCAATTATTTTTCATTCATTCATTGTTCATGTGTATCTACAGTGTGGTTGATGCTACAATAAAGTAGGACTCATATAATTCTTATTAAGGGCTAACTTTGTGGGCAAATGAGAATGTAAGGTAAATACTATGGAGCACTAAATGTCATAAGAAAGGCTTGGCCATTGGGAGGATCAGTGAAAACTTTAGGTAAGAATTAGCATTTGAATTGTTTTTTGAGTAATTGAAGAAAAATGGGAAAGTTAAGAGAATTTTAGGTGGGGGATAAACAGAGGCACAAACATGGAAAATTATAGGACTTGCTCCAGTGAATCTTTGCTTTTGACAAGCAATATGGATGACAGTTATCCTTGAGAACAGCTGTGGTCTTATAACATTTCTAGAAATTAAAATATTTTTATGAAAGCCAGTTGTTGTTACACTGTTTGTCATTGGCCACATCTGCATTGAAATACTTGTGAAAATACAGACAGCATCAGTAATATCTGAACTATGAATGTGTACAGTGTGGGGAATTTTTATTTTTATTTATTTATTTTAAATATACATTTTATTGATTTTGATCAGAAAGGAAGGGAGAGAGATAGAGAGTTAGAAACATCGATGAGAGAGAGTCATCGATCAGCTGCCTCCCACTACTGGGGATATGCCCACAACCAAGTTACATACCCTTGACTGGAATCGAACCTGGGACCTTTCAGTCCCCAAGCCGACGCTCTATCCATTGAGCCAAACCGGTTTCGGCGTGTGTGGGGAATTTTTAAATAGCAATGTATTTTGATATAATTTTACACAGAAAAGTTGAGTGATTACAAAGACCATATATATTATATATTACTTACATATTTTTTTCTGAACCGTTTGAGAGGAAAGTTGGAAATTTTATGCCCTTTTACCTCTAATACATTGGTACATATTTCCTAAGAATTTTCTTTCTTAATTACAGTGTAGTTATCAGAATCAGGAAATTTTACATTGATTCAATATTATCAACCTACAAGCCATTCTTAAAAGTTCGTTAATTGTGACATAATGTACTTGATAGCTGATATTCCTCAACTCCAGGACTAAATTTAGGTTCATACTTTGCATTTAGTTGTCCTGTCTCTTTATTCTCCTTTAGTGGGGAACCATTCCTTAGTCTTTTAAAAACTTTATTGATGTTGACATTTTTGAAGAATAGGACATTTATAGGATGACCCTCAGTTTGAGTTTGTCATATGTATTCTCATAAGTAGATTTAGGTCATGCTTTTTTGACAAAAGTACCTTCAATGTGATCTTTGTCTTCCATGCATGATTTCAAGATCACACAATTTTGTTTTGCTCCAGTATTGGTGATGTATGTCAGGTCATACCATAGAGTTACTATTATTTTACTCTTTGCAATTAGTCAGTAATTTGGGGAAAATATTTCAGACTATGTTCTTTATTAAACTTCCACCTTTTAATTTTATAATCTGTTGCTGATTCTCTAACTCCATCATTCTGTGTGCATTGGTTGGCATACTATTGTAGGAAAGAATCTCCTTTTCTTTTTACTTTATCTATACCATTATGGAATCATTGGTTCTTTTTTCCCCCTCCTTACAAAACTTTTATTAATACCAGAAATGAAATAGTAAAATCACAGTGCTTTTTTTTTAAACATCAGTATAATTGTGGGTACAAAGATGGTATGAATGGGGACTCAGGAGGCCTTGAGAAGAGAAAGCGGGCAAGTCAGACCTAAACACGTTGATTTGGTTGATCCTTGCTCCACAGATGATTCTTACTTTATTCAATGGATTACATAATCCATGGCTACCATTATTTTGATGCCTAGATAATTCTAGATAAGGCCAGATGACTTATCATCAAACAAGTTTTGTGTTCTTTTAACATTTATTTATCATTCTTTCAGTATTTTCTTTTTTTGTATGTGTGCAAAATTTTATTTTCTGATTCCCTTGCACTTTCTGTGCTCCAGGCCCTGAATCAGCCTTTCCTCCTAGTATCTTTGGATTTCTTTCCATCTTCAGAAACAGCATGGCCAATCAGGACCTTCTCAGTTTGCATTTTTTCTGACAATTTTTCCATAATCTTCCACTTTTAAGGCTACATGATTAGATTGGATCCATTCAGATAACCCAGGATAATCTCCCCATTTTGGATTCTTAATATTAATCATATCTGCAGAGTTTCTTTTACCATCTAATGTAGCACATTAACAGGTTCTGGAAATTAAGATGTGTACATCTTTGGGTACCCATGCTTCTGCCTACCCATGTTACAGACAGTGATACTACTGATGCCTGACTTTGCTAAATCATTTTTTGTTTTGTTTAGAATACCTCCTACCTTTCCCTCTTTGACTCAGTAAATACAAAAGAGGTGTCACAATTCAGAGTCACAATAGTATTATATTAGATATAATATCTGTAAGTAAATTATAGGGGCAACAGATTCTAGAAATAACTAATATATATGTGTATATATATAGTGTATATGTATGTATGTATGTATGTATGTATATGTATATGTATATATATATATATATATATGCTCACAGAGTATTCCTTTAAAAAATAGGAAATCTTTATTTCTGAGTTTATATTAACTGGTCCTAATCTATAGTATTAAGGTTCATACTTGTAGTTATTCACACATAAGCAGGAAGTAAACTATTACAAGTAATCAGTAAAGAGTCTCTTAATTTAGTATAAGAACATTCCAAAATAGATACTCATTCAGAAAAATAAGTGATAATAATTTATATGAATTTGATAATGAACAACATTGCATATTAATGTGTTATTTCTTTCCTACCTAGATCATCACAAAGTATGTATATGAGCTTCTGGAAAAGGACTGTAATTTGAAAAAAATATCTATACCAGTAAGTCCAATTTTTAAAAATCTTTATACTTCTAAATAAAATAATTTTCAATTCAGAAGAAAATTTTTGTTTTAGGTTAACTGTAATAAGTTTAAATATTAAGGTCCTAGTATTTTGATATTGATAAAGATGATATTGTATTCCTGTCAGTATTTCTTATCTCATTATGTACAGTAGTTCCTAAAAAGTAAAAATCTTCAGAACTATTGTGCACAATGAGATGAGGTATTCTACAAAATAGACACAGTATATTAAGTACAAATGTGGAATATAGCCAGTGATATTGTAATAATTGTGTGTGGTGCCTGGTGGTACTTGAATTCACAGAGGGGAGCACTTGGTAAGGTGTATGATTGGCCACTAGGCTGTGTGCTGAAACTAATTCAGAATAATGTTGAATGTATTCTGTAATTGAAAAAGATAATAAAATATAAGTAGGTAAGAAACACTAATACCCACCTTAATAAAATAAAACTGATTTCCATCCTTTTTTGAAAATGATAATGTAATTAGTAGGACCACCCTTCTCCACCTTTTCCCATTTACTGATATAATTTATTATTATTTATTTTAAGTGAGGTGGTACACTGGAATGAACTTTATATGTATGTATTCCTAATGAAAGCCCAGCTTAATGAATTACTATTGTTTGAACATAAATGGAACCTGGGACAGCCATTTCTAAACTTTAGTTAATGAAGAAAAAAATATGTTACTCATTACATAGAAATTTTACTAATAGAAATTATCATTAACTTTATACAAGAAAGTTATAGTTACCAACTGCAAAGCCAATAACCAGCTCAAATACTACCCTTACTCCTTAATCTTTAGTACCATTTTAATTCAGTTTCGTTACCTTGAATTTTCTAATGTTCTCATACTTTTAAAGTAAAAATTTCAAGATGTTGAAATAACATGGCTTATTCATGGATACCTTAATTTATATTATATTATATTATATTATATTATATTATATTATATTACATTACATTATATTATATTATAATCATTATAATTAAAAAAAAAACACATTTTTATCTCCTGAAAAAAAGTTCTTTTCCAGTTTTAAAGTGATGAATGTAGAATTTAAATTACCAAGATTTCATTCCTTAAAAAATTGACTGAATTTCTTGGTAATGGGATTTAGTCTGAATAGAAGAAAACAACAACAAGCAAACAACAAACAAAGTGTTTGGCCCATACTGACAAGTCCAGAGCTAAGGTACACAGATGTCCATTTCCACAGCATTCTGGGCTTTTTAAGGCTTCCCTGACTTTCAGAGGCATTTCTATTTGTACATGTTTAGAGGTTTAAAGGAACCCTTTGGTAAATGCATGGCTAGAAACCTCCATGGCCTCTTTTTAATACACACTGACAGCTTTGTTTTTTATTTATTTTATTTTTTCTTATCACCATTTTCCTGTTTGTTTTTGTTTTGTTTTGAGCCATTTTAACTTAGTCATTTCTCTGTTTTTATAATGGTTTTAAGTAAATTGGAATTACCGAGGTTAGGTTTTCTACCTTCTCTCATCCTCTTCCTTTTCTCTGTGGCTTCGATCATACCTGCTGTCACTGTAATTTGTTTACTCAGGACATCTCATGGAATTGAAGCGAAAGTGATTGTTATATTTCATAGCTCTCTCTCTCTGCATATTTAGTTACTACTAATAAAGATAGTTACATAATTTTATTTCTTAGCAAGTGTAGCTCTTTTAAAACTATAATTATGTACTAGTTTAATATTTAATATATATTTTCTGAACCAGTCAAGTTATAACCAGTTATAGGATGCATTGTTAAATACCTTTTATTTAAAGAAAGTCACTGGTGATGCTTGATAAGATTACTTATTCCAAAAGTTTATTCATTCCTTTATTTACAGAGGGCCTACAATATGCTGTCTCTCTGTTACGCATTGGGAACGTAGCTAGATAAAACAGGAAAGTTTGTGCCTTTCTAAATTACATTCTAGTGGAGGAAGCAGAAGGTTAATACTCAGTTATGCGAACAAATATATAAAGTGAAGCATACAATTTATTAGATTGTGGCATGGGCTATGGAGGAAAATAAAAGAGAGAACGGAGCTAGAGAATTCTTGGGATATTAGTTAAAAGGGGTGGTTAGGAAGGCTTTACTGAAATTAAAAAGATGGAATTTTTTCTTAATCTCTGTGACCATCCTTTTCTTGATGAAATAATTGCCTTTTGTGCGCTGTTTACATGAGTTTCTAAGCCTCTGTTATATCAATCTGATTGTTTTAGAAGTAGAGAAATTTTGTTATTTTTCTCCTCCCGGGAATAGTGACTGGGAATATTTGGAATCCAGGGTATTTTTGATATCTAGAGTTTTTGTTTATTTCCTATTTTGATAACTGCATGGATATATACCATTGATGAAGTAAAGAACTATTGAATTACTTAGCAGGTGGATTGACCCTCTCTATTCAAGGGTGTGTACTACCTGCCATCAAGACTGTAGTTTCTGTCTCTGACCAGGCTGCATAGAGGCTTCCATTCCCAATTACTTATCACTACTGATGTGGAATGTCACTCCCTGCCTGCCATGGAGTATATAGTTAATGATTGGGGTGCCATCCCTTCATTTAGTCTTTCAAATCTAAATCGTCTATCATCTAGTTTAAACCTAAATATTAGGTATTATCAAAATGAATAAAAGTGTTTACTTTTCATCCATAAATAGCTGGTACATAAAATAAGGTTATCAGAGTACACAAATAATATTCCCTTATTAAATAATTATTATATAACCTTATATTCATACTCTGAATGAAATTTTAAAGTCTATTTACATTGAAAAGTAGATTTTTGAATTTTTAGTAATAGTTTCCTCTCCACCTTTTAAAAGTTTAGTGGTATTTGTACGTATCCTTCAACTGGGTGTATCCTTCAACTGGGTCTTTCTGTTTCTATTTTAGGTGCAGTATTCTTCTATTAATCTCAATTTCTTCATCTATAAATGAGTATAATAATAGTACCACCTTAATAGTATTGTGATTGAGAGAATATTTTAAAAACATTTTGCCTAGAATCTAGACAAAAATCAGTTATTCTTAAATATAATGACATTTAATACCCTATATAATAAAAGCCTAATGTGCTAAGTGTCTGGTCGTCCGATCATCTGTTCAACAAATCAAAGCGTAATATGCTACTGATATGCTAATGCCACTCAACCATTCACTATGACATGCACTGACCACCAGGGGACAGACACTCTGACCAGTAGGTTAGCTTGCTGCTGGGGTCTGGATGATGTAGGACTGAGTTAGATGGGCTGGACACATCTTGGAGCCCTCTCATAGTCCCTCCCTGGCCCTGATTGTGCACCAGTGGGGTCCTTCAGGCTGGCCTGCACCCTCTTGCAATCTGGGACCCCTTGGGGAATGTTGGAGAGTCAGTTTGGCCCTTTTCCATAGGCCAGGCCAAAGGATCCCACTGGTGCATGGATTCGTGTACAATAATAATGTAGGATACATATATTTCCAATATTCTTTTTTCATATTTTTATACTATCATGTCTTTTTTTACTCATCTATTGTATATGTAATTATTACTCTCTAATGAATATTTTAATTTTATTTTAAACTTTTTTACTCCTATAATCCTGTAATAACCATTTTATAATTTCTAGTAAGCATTATTTGTTTGTTTTTTTCATTTCTATTTATGCCTGATCAGAAAACATATATTTATTATTTAACTTTTTTTAATTACAGGTAGATGCCTCTGAGAGTGAACCAAAGAGTTTTATCTTTATGAGTGAGGATGCTTTGACAAATCCACAGAAACTGATGGTTTTAATTCATGGTAGTGGTGTTGTCAGGGCAGGTCAGTGGGCTAGAAGGCTAATTATAAATGAAGATCTGGACAGTGGCACACAGATACCATTTATTAAGAGAGCTATGGATGTAAGTGTACTTTCTTTTATATTTTTTCGGAGGGGGGTCATTTTATAGCTTTGCTTTATTATGTTTATAATTTATTTTAACATGTTTCTTCTAACATATCTCCTATATATACTTTTATCCTTAAATTGTTATTATTTATAATGAAAAATTATTCTGCATTATTTTATAGTTAGAATAAAAATAATATCTTAAGTGTATAAAAATTTAGATAATGTCTTTGAAATGAATATTTTTTATTCTTAATTTTTGTTTATTGTTATTTGAAATATCACTTAAATTAACAACTACTTATCAATAAGATTGAAATACTTATGAAAAAAATATGACTGCTTTTTAAATCTTGTCCTACCTAGTTTAATGATGTTTGAAACTAAAGGAAATATGCTACTTTAAATTAATCTTTTATTCTTTTAAAGAAGAGATGGAATAACTCAGTATTTTTAAAGTTATTTCTTTGAAAAATATTCTTTAGAGGCACATATAAAATGCCTTAAGCATATAACATACATACAAAACGGTAAATTGCAGTATTTACTGAATTACTTTTTTGAATTTAAACCTTTTAGAAATTGCTTTTTTAAAATCTTGTTTAAGTTTTTCTTTTCTATAATAGTGAAATTGGTTTCCTTTTTCTGGCCTAGTATTCAATATCTAACTGTTAGGCTACTTTTGTTTTACTGACTTATTCTTGGTCTCTGTTGAATAGCCAAATTTTGTAAAGTATGGATTTCTTTTACATATAAGTCGAGTTTTGTTTAAGAAAAAAAGTAAAGTGGCATCTTGTATAATGTAAAAATATAAAATTTATTTTTGTAATTACAATTGGGAAGGAATTCTTGGATACACTGATTATTAATTACAAAGGTCAAAGATAATATGTTTTCTAGTTTGTTAATTCTGAAATGCTAATACAGTTGACCCTGGAACAATCTGAGCATTAGGGCCACTGTTGCCCCATGCCTGCCCTGTGTGTAGTCGAAAATCTGTATATAACTTTTGAATCACTCAAAACTTAACTATTAATAGTCTACTGTTGACCAAAACCTTACTTATAATATAAACATTTGCTTAACACATATTTTGTATATTATATGATTTATATACTGAATTCTGACAATAAGCTAAGCTACAGAAAAGAAAATACTATTAGGAAAGTTATAGGAAGAGAAAGTACTTCATTCACTACTATACATATTTTTTGAAAAAAATTCACATATAAGTGGATCTGTGCAGTTCAAGCACATGTTGTTCAACAGTCTACTGTATTTTTAAGGCCAACCCAACTCTTAAATAATATTTTGATTAATAGATTTTGAGGCTTTTAAAATGCTATAGGTAGAATTTCTTAGATGAATTGTATGTATTTTTTTCAGTCTTTATGAATATGCAAAGAATATAAAGGCATTCCTACTTTTGATTGGTTGTAAACTTCAGTAGTGTGGTTTTAGTAGAATTGAACTAACTAAAAATATTGAGTTTTATATTGGAGTAACTCACATGAAATATTATTTAAACTGTTTCATACTTCAGGATATGAATAATAAATGATATTTCTGACAAAGTAGTTTGTGGTTAGAACAAACCCTGTTGATGTATTTTAACATTATATTAGTACATGAAAAGTGATCATAATTCAAAGAATATTTGAAGGTTTAATTTAGTAAAGAAAATCAGATGTTTGTATTTTTTGTTTGTTTGTTTGTTTTTAATATATTTTATTGATTTTGTACAGAGAGGAAGGGAGAGAGATAGAGAGTCAGAAACATCGATGAGAGAGAGTCATCAACCAGCTGCCTCTTGCACACCCCCTACTGGGGATATGCTCGCAACCAAGGTACATGCCCTTGACCGGAATCGAACCCGGGACCCTTCAGTCCCCAAGCCGACGCTCTATCCATTGAGCCAAACCGGTCCCGGCAGATGTTTGAATGTTTGAGAGCTAAATGAAATATGTAATTATATTGTTCCTGCTACTATATCAATTAAGCCTTTCTCATTCTTGATTTGTTTTTATTGTTACATAAAGTTTTTTGAGGTGAAAGATGTTAATGGGAATTCATACCAAACATCTTTGAATTGACTATCTGTTAATATCCCAAACAGGAGGGGGAGCAAGTTTGTTAGTGACATGAGAATAGTTCTTATAAGTAGGAATAGTGTTTTGGGGATAGCACTTCATTACCCTGACTTTTTTTTTTCTTTTCTCAATCATAGCAACTCATGATTCCTTGAAAAAAATAAAATAAAAAGCAGCTGATTTCTAAATACTTTTTTAGTATTACTATATTCATTATGTTGTATACTTTGAAAATTTTAATTTATATACTTTATTCTTTTATAATAACTGAATATGAACTTTATTGTAATTTTCTACATACTGAATATTTTAAAATAGTATTTCTTTTTAGTCATGATAAAATTATTTTATTATTTGGGTTTTACCTTTTCATAATGTTTCTCTGGTAGTTCTTCAATGCTGCTCTGTGGTTGTACGGGGTTGGGGGTCAGTGCAGGTGGACAAGTATGGAGAAAAAGGAACCCTAGTAAACTGCTGGTAGGGATGCAGATTGGTACCGCCATAGTGGAAAAACAGTGTGGAGTTTCCTCAGAAAATTAAGAACAGAACTGCCTTTTTGACCCAATAATCCCACTTCTAGAAATATATCCTAAGAATTTCAAGATAGCAATGCAAAAGAATGTATGCACTCCTATGGCCATAGCAGCATTATTTAAATAGCCAAGATCTGGAAACAGCCCAAATGCCCATCAATAAATGAGTAACTAAAAAAACTGTGGTAAATTTCACAACGGAATACTATGTGACCATAAAAAAGAAGAAAATCTTTTGCAATAGGATGGATGGATCTGGACAGTATTATGCTAAGTGACAAACCAGTCAAAGAATGACAAACACCATATGATTTCCCTTACATGTGGAAACTCATGAACAAAATAAACAGACAAAATAGAAACAGACTCATAGATATAGAGAACCAACTAACAGCTGTCTGAAGGAATGGGGATTGGTGGGGCTGAGTAGAAAAGGTGATGGGATTAAGCAAATAAAATAAAAAAGTCATAGATACACACAACAGTATGGTGATTACCGGATCGAAAGGGTTAAGGGGAAATAGAAAAGGGTAAAGGTAGAATAAATGTTGATGGAAAGAGACTTAGCTTGAGATATAATACAATATACAGATGATGTATTATAGAATTGTACTCTTGAAATCTATATAATTTTATTAACCTATGTCATCCCAAAAAATTCAATAAAAAATTTTAAAAACCACTTACATTTTATTAAAATAAACTGCAGAACATCAAAGGATGTATGCATATATTCTTTTTTCCTCTTTTTTGTTTTACTTATTTTTTCTTTCCTGCATGCATAAAATCTTAAAAGTCAAGTAAAAGCCAACATAATGATTATCATTTCCTAATATTTTTCTCCACCTATTCTGTTCCCTAGATATAATCACTCTTAATACTTTTATTTTTACTTATATTTGCTATTTCACATTTAGAATTATAGCACTGTCTCAATATATCATTCATTTTCTGTTATGGATAAACAGTTTCTCAATTAAATTAGCAATCATACTTTATAATATTCTATTACTTTAATATTTCTTATGGCCGAGCTACGTAGGTACTATGATTGCTTTTCATTTTTGCTATATTTTTTATGGAATTCATTTCATAGGTTTTTTATAATTATTTTCTTTGTAATAATTACTAATTCAGCTTTTGATTAGTCAGTAATTTTTTACATTGTCAAATTTTTCAGATAATCTTCCAGTTTTACTTTCTTCTAGAGACTCTCTTTTGGAATTCTGAGGACTTTTGATCCAGTCTTGACTGGTCACTTTCTAAACCTGCCTTCCTTTCTCTTTCATCATGGGAAACCCCTTCGATTTTTTCTTATGTTTGACCTTCTGTTTCCTGGATCTAATTAACCCTTGCTTTTGGATATATCCTCTCATTTTGTTGGAGTCATAAAAGTGAATGTAAGATAATATTTTAAAACTTGTATTTCTAAACAATACCTTTATTTTATTTCTTCACCACTTTAAAAATCATTTTCATTCAGAAATTTGAAGACTTTTTTTCATTGGCTTTTAGTTTTGAGTGGTTTAATTGAAAAGTCTAGTACCATTCTGATCTTGAATCCTTTTGTTCTCCTCTATAGAAGCTTCTTTTCTTTCTTCATATTGCTTTTAAGAAATGTCCTATGCATCAGTATGGGTTTGTTTTTGTTTTTGTTTTTTTACTCATTGTGTTGAACACTTGGTGATGATTACTTTCTATCTCGTGATCCTTAATTCTAAGAAAGAAATTTGTGATGTTTCTTGATAATTTAAATCTTTCTTTAGCATATGGTTTGGAAGTTCTGGATGTAGTTTCTAATTTTCTTATCTGTCTTATCTATTAATAATTGTATATACTTTCTCTTCCATCTGTTTTGGCTCTAATTCCTAGGATGTTACCTACTTTTTAAAAATTATTTTATAGAATTTTTAAAGTTCTATCATATTGGGATATGGAGCTCTTTATTTACTTTGTAGACTTCTACATAGTACACCTGATGGAGCTTTGTGTCGCTTTCTTTCCCTTTCATGTTCTGAATATATTTCTCTGAAGGAAAAACCTCATATCTTACAGAGCTGGGTCACATGTTTTTTGTTTTTTTGTTTTGAGGTTGGTGGATTTATTTTGATGGATTGGAGTTAACTACCTTATGTGAAGTTACAACTAGTGCCTCTGTTACTCAAGGCTACCTCTACTTACCAAGATAACTGGCACCCCAGTTTGTGAGTTTTTCTGAAAATCTGTGAGAGTGTTGGCATGCTTCTCAACATTATTCCCCTCCAATGCACTTAAGTTTGAATTTCTGCTGTAATACAAAGCCTGTTCCATCTGCTTAGTCTTTCAAAATTTTATTGGCATCTGTATCCTCTAGTCTCTCCCCTTCCATTTATTTTGTCCTGATAAGTCAA